CGCCAGACCACTTGAGGAATGCGCGCGTGAGCAAGCCGTGGCACGACTCCAGGACGCCCATCCAGTCGACGCTGTGGTCGAAGCCCGTCCACCTAGAGTCGGGCCACACCTTCGGGTCGGTCGCCGCCACGGCCGCGACGAAGAGAGTCGTGAACTTCGACAAGCAATCATTGCGAGACAGACAGCACCCGTTGCAACAATGCTCCACCACGTGCCTGAACCAGAACCCCAATGGCACACCCACGCACGAGCATCGGCCACCGCAGCCCCCTCCAACGTGCCTCGAGACCCCCGCGGCCGAAAAACTTATGCCCAACCAGGACTGTGGCCCGAGCCCCAAGGCGAACTCAAACGACAAAAAATGAAAAACGACGAAAGCTATTACAAATTGTTTGGCACTGGCGGGAAGGGGACAGGCGGCTGCTCGAGCGCGGGGTGCGACGGGCTTCTGGATCCGAGGCCTGTTCGACCAGCGCCCATTCGCCAAGGAGAGGATCACGCTTCGCTTCATGCGCCTGTGCGGGGAGGTGTCCTCGAGGAACAGGTCTAAGCACATCTTGTTGTAGTTGGTGTCGACGGCGGACGGGGCTCGCTGCCTGTGGTACCTGAGCGTGTCCGAGATGACTTGCCTGAGCGTGGTCCTGAATGATCTCATGGCGTCGCCACTGCGCAGCGCCTTCGCAACGTGAACCATCGAGCTGGTGTCGTGCTTCGTGTGGAGGAACGCTGCTTTGAACCATTTGTACACCATGTGGACCTCGCACTTCAGCTTCAACGTGTCGCAACTGTCACCCGCTTCACGATCTAGGTTCCGCTCCATCCTGGTGATGCCGCCTGCGCCGTCGGTGGTGACCAGCCGCTGACGTCGATCAAATCTCTGCGGCACGCCGTCCATCGGCGGCTGGCTCGCCATGAGCGCGTCGTGCAGCACCTCGCCAGTCGTCCTGCTCAGCGACTGGACGGGCGTCTCGAACGGCACGCGAACGGCGAAGTAGCCCTCGGCAGGCAGGTGGAAGAGCATGGAGTACATGCGCTCGGTGTTGAGGATCTTGGCCACGTGGGTGCTCTTGCAACTCGCGCTGATCGGCACCATCTGCACAGCTCCGTCTTCGTCTTGTCCAGGTCCTTGCAACTGGGGCTGCTGCTTCTCTAAGTCGCGTTTCTCGGTGTCGGTCAGCCGCATGGTCATGGGGGTCTCGTCGTACCTCACTGCCTCCGTCCAGCTGATGGCTCGGCCTCCGCGCCTGATAATGCTGTCCACCAGCTGCCGAGCCATCGATTTGCAGTCCCGCTGCTGCATCACGTTGCACGCGCTGGCCGTAGCTATCAAGAATGCCTCTGCCGTCCTCCGCTGCACTTTGAACTTATCGCACTCCTCACTGAACGGCAGGGTCTTGGCCTTCTCGTCGAGCCAGTAGTTCGCCATCTGGTGCTGCCTCACGTTGAAGAAGGCTGGGTCGCGCCCGTTCGCCGCTGAGATCGCGCTCACCTGCTCGACGAGCTGCGCGACGCCCCAGCCGAGCGAGCCTTCTGCCGCTGGTAGCGGCGGCCGCTCCTCCGACTCGCCCGCGAGCGCGAGCTCCCAACGTTCGGGGGGTCCTGGCACGTCGGGGGCATCTGGCTCGGCGGGCTCGTCGCCGTCAAAGTCGCCGAACAGTTCCAGCGCGTCGTCGTCGGCCGCGCCCGCGGCAGCTGCAGCAAGCGCAGCCGCCACTATCGCCCCAGAAACTCGAGGCTCAGCCACCGCACTCCGAGTCGGCACCGACATCGAGATCCGTTGGTGTCGCACTCGCTTCCGCAGGGGCCCAATCGCACACCACACAGCCTGGGGAGTTGCAGAAATACCTCCTCCCCCACTCCGCATCCTCATCATCCCTCCTCATCCTCCATTTTTTTTTTTCAACATCCTCCCCCTCTCCCCGATTATATCCACCATACCTCCTACCATCGCTCGGCCCTGGCCCCCATCGTCCCCCCGCCGCCTTCCCTCCTCCGCCCCCCGTCCCGACGCCGACGTCCACCCCCTCGCCCAATTTCCCAGGCCCCGAGCCTTGCGCCTTGCCACGGTGCACGCGGGCAAGGCCTCAAGGTCGAGGCCGTGCTCGTGCGGGTCGCTCGGCGACGGCGCGGCCACGGGCGCGCCGTCGCCGAGCTGCAGCAAGTCCGCCTGGGCTGACGGGGGGGGGCGACCGACGGGGGTGAGGGAGGGAGGGACGTCGAGTGAGGGACGACGGCCTCGTCGAGCTGCGAGTGCTCACGCTCGGCCGCCACCGCGGCCCAACCATCCGCCGCGCAGCCGTCCTCGGCGTGGCCCGCGGCGGCTATGGCGGCCCAGCCGCTGCCGCCCGCCGCCCCGACGGCGGCGGCAGGGTCAGCCGCCGCGACGGCGGCCCACCCTCCCCCGCCACCGCTCATGACGGCGGCAGGGTCAGCCAAAATGGCTGCACCCACGGTGCGGCGCGGCACAGCGGCGTGGCGCGGGCACGGCACAGCACGGCACGGCGGCACGGGCACGGTACGGGACGGCATGGCGACGCGGGCACGGCACGGCACGGCGGCGCGGGCACGGCACGGCACGGCGCGGCGGCACGGGCACGGCGGCGCGCGCACGACACGGCGCGACAGAACGGGCACGGCCGCGCGGGCATGGCACGGCACGGAACGGCGGAACGGGCACGGCACGGCGGAACATGCAAGGAGGAGGTATGGATAATGGCGAGGAAGGAAGCGTTTAGGGAGGAGGTAAAGTTTAGGGAGGAGGTAAGCCTTAAGGAAGAAGGTAGGCATTTAAAGAGAGGGGAAGGATAATGGCGAGAAAGGAAGGCGCACCCCTTTGTTTGTGGATGTCGAACGGGACGGGGCGGCTTGTTGTGAAACATACCTTATCTTGGATCACGACTTGATGCGACTACTTGTGGTGAGGCTACTTGGCCTCGGGACTACTTTTGTTGCTACTTCGAACACTACTTTGGAACCTACTTGGTATGTGGGGGGGGTACTTCAACTCCTACTCCGAAACCTACTTTGGTACCTACTTTGGTCGTTCTGTGGGGCCTATGGGCGTAGCGGGACGTGCCTATCATAAGGGCGGCAGTGAAACCCGACGCCGTGATTCAGTCTGCCGTGGCGCGCCGCGATGCTGTCGCCGTGCTGCGCCCGCAGCGACGCCCAGCGTCTGCGCGGCGCTGTGATCGTCTTGCAGGTTTACGCCTGAGCCGAAGGTTTTGTTGAACGCGGGCTCGCGAGACTCGCGGCGGGTCTCAGCGGCGCAGCGTTCGGCGCTATCTTTTGCCGTGTTGTTTGCAGCCTTTTTCAATGCATGTTATGAGCCTTCGATTCGGCAAGCGCGCGGATCGCATTGGCCTCTGACCCAGGGCCGACGCCCAGCGGCCAAGGCCAGGCGCCCCCGCGCCCGTTCCTGAAGAGGCGCCGCCCGCGGGGCCCTGGAGCCAACGGCAGTGTTTTCACTGGGCGCAGGCACTGTTGTCCCTGAGACCTCCTAGGAAGCAGAGCGTGGAGGCCGAGTGACTGCACTGCTGCGGCTGGGAAACATGTTGCCATGCGGCTGGTGCTGCGCAGCTCGAGCTCCGTGGCTGACTCATTGGATGTATTATCTTGGGGTCGCATGCTTCCCGTTTGTCCTCTCTATCGTCCCATTATGTTGCGCTCTCGTTTCTCTTCTCTTTTACGGATGTACTCGCTTGCCAAATGCGGCGTTTTCCATTCTCGCTTTTGGCCACGGATTTGTTTGCGAGCCACGCTTTCTTTTTCTATTGTCTCGAGCTCGCCATGGAGCGGGTCGTCCACCCGTGGGTCGGCTCCCGCGGAACCACTTGCGCATTCAGATCTTCATTGTTTTCTTGACGAAGCTCGGCGACGGGAACTTCACAACATCTTCTTCGGGCGCGGCCGCCGCGCTTTCGGGCGGGGCGTTTTCCGGCGCTCTCGCTGACTCCTCTAGAAATGTGCGCAAAGTTTCGTTGTTTGGTTCTGCGTGTTTTTTCTCTCTTCTCTTTTCGCGGATCGGGTCCCCGGGAGAATTTCACCTCGGACCCCCGGCGAGGAGTTCTTAGGCGGGGGTGGGGGGGGTCGGTGTTTTTTCCTTTGTTTCTGGCGCGTGTTATTGTTTTTGACGGTTTCCTCAGGGTTTCATGGGCTCCCGGTTCCGTTTAGGTCTTTACCCCCGTCTCCCCTTTTCTGTTACCTTCGCAGTATTTGTGTCTGAGCGGTAGGGATGAGGGCGCGCGCGCGCCCCTCTTTGTCGGCGTCGTGAAAAATGCGAGAATTGTTGTGTTCACATGTGATTTTGTTTCCCGGGGTGCTCGTGCGAGTTACGGCGGGGCGCGAACTCGAAACACCGACGGGGAATTGGCCGCCACGCAAGCGTGCCAGGGCCCAAAGCCAGTAAAGTTTTCTTGGGGGGGGGGGGGGGGCCGTAGGTCACCGCGTCCCTATACATAATTGAACAGGGGCGGGGCGGGAACAGACCAGAACATATTCAGGCGCGTGGGGGGTGGGAGGAGGTGGAGGAGGGAAAGGAGGAGGAAAAGGAGGAGGAAAAAGGGGGGACGAGGAGGCAGGGGAGAAGGAAAAAGGGGAGGAGGAGGGAGGGAGGAGGAGGAGGAGGAGGAGGAGGAGGAGGAGGAGGAGGAGGATAATGAGGAGGAGGAGGAGGGAGGAGGAGGAGGAGGAGGAAAGGAGGAAAGAAGGAAAGGAGGAGGAGGGGGAGGGGGAGGAGGAGGAGGAGCAGGAACTGGAGGAGGAGGAGGAGGAGGAGGAGGAGGAGGAGGAGGAGGAGGAGGAGGAGGGGGAGGGGGAGGAGGAGGGGGAAGGAGGAGGAGGAGGAGGAGGAGGAGGAGGAGGAGGGAGGAGGAGGAGGAGGAGGAGATGGAGGGGGAGGGTCGAGAACGAGGATCGAGGAGCAGAGGGGGTCGAGGAGGAGGAGGAGGAGGAACGAGACTCACATCGTGGGAGATCGTGGCCCCCGGCCTGGCGCCGAGGCCGCGGCAGAGGCCCTCCGCGCCGCCTTCGCGGAGTCCGTGCTGGGCGCGGCTGCCGTGAGCCACTTGCGCGTGGTGCCCGCGCAGCCGGGCCAGGCTGGGCCGGGCCCGGCGTGCGCCGGTCTCAGCCAGAATAGGCTCCCGGCCCAAGTCAAGAGGCCTCCCATGTAGGGTCCGAGTGGATGGGGTTGAAGGACGCAGGACCGCTCTGCATCAACGATGCATCGCCGATGCGGCCCGATGTGGGGTCCGATTTTCTCCGCACCGGCGTCGCCGATGCACCGCCGACGTTGCCGATGTGTTGCCGATGCATCGGTGATGCATCGACGATGCGGCGTGGTTCTCCAATCCCATCCACTCCGACGCGCAACCTGGGAGGCATCTGCATAAGTGGTTTTGAACCAGGTTTCTTGGGGAGGCGCAGATGGCTTCCAGAGCACCCCTCACGAGGCCCAGAGGGACCCCAGGCGCCCGTAAAATGGCGCGAAAGGCTGGGAGCGTATTGGGCCACTACCACTTCTGCCAACACCCGATTGCGGGGGTGGACCGAAGGGGGCACTGGAAATAATGCCTGCCCATTCTGAACAGGAGTCGTTATCGGCTGTCGCCGCGGACGCTGGCTATTCGAGACTGACCCTCGCCTTCCCGACAGCGGCCGTTGTCGATTTTGGGCGGCATCTGCTGCTGGGAATCATGCCAGTTTTGTCCATGCCGTCGGGTATATCAGGTGCAAGGGGGCAAACGGTATCGGGTGCGCCATGAAGCAAACGGCTCCCCAGGGGCCACAACAGGGGGTGGATTGGCCTAAGGTTGGAAGCATTGCCTGTTCATCGCCAAACGCGCATTTTCTTCACCGAGGGCCTATCGCCGATCCATCAGCGGTGTATCACCGATTCCAAGTAGACCGTTCCCCCCTACCTGGTCCACCCTGTCCTTCCCTTCAGGCTCTGAGGAGACGGGTCGTGTGCTCCCCGGGCTCTGGGGACCGTCGATGACCGAGAGTCATGATGAAGAGCCCGTCGCGTGGGACCAGGCCCCTGGAATCCAGGGCTCGTTTCCCGCCACGACCCGTTGTATTTCCTGCCGACTGCCTTGTGAGCGGCATCTGTCAAGGCGGCATGGTTTGCAACCACGCTGCCTGCGCTCCCTCCTCTTCTCCTCATCCTTCCCCCACTTCCCTTCGCCCGAGTCCCGTGTCGTCCCGAGTCCAAGGCCACTGCCGGTTTTTGTATTCGGCCTTGCAGATATTCATCGCGTATGATTATTTAATCGCTTCGCTCATTCCGCCGGCCCGTATTGTGCCATCGCAGGCGTTTGCTTGCGCGTTCGTGGCCTCTTGGAGCCTCGGTGGGGCCGTTTGGGGCCTCTTGGCGCCTCTTTTTAGGCCTCTTGGAGAACTCGGGAGGCCTCCAGGGGGCCTCCTGAGCTCTCGTGACGGTCTCTTGGGGGGCTTTCGGCGGGCTCTTGGCGGTATTTGTTGGTCCTCTTGGGGCCTGGGGCCTGACGTTGTTGGTCCTCTTGGGGCCTCACGGGAGCTTATTGGGGCGTCTTGGGGGTGTCTTGGAGAGTCTCTTGGGGCCTCTTTCGGGGTCCTGGGCGCCTTCTGGGGCGGAGGGCTCGATTTTTCAGTTCTCGGTTCCCTTCTTGAGCCCCTCTTGGGCCCGTCTTGGGGCCTCTTGGTCCGCCTTGGGCAGCACTTGGGCCGTCTGGGGGGCGCTCTTGGGCCGCTCCGGGGCCGTCTTGGGAGCCTCGTGGGCCGTCTTGGAGCAGTCTTGAAGGCCTCTTGGGCCTCTTGGAGCGTCCGGAAGCGAAAAGGCCAGAACGCAAAAAAACATAGAAAAAATTATGAAAATCAACGATTTTGGCAACTTGGGGCCCTCTTCGGAGGCCTCTTGGAAGGCCCTTGGAGCGTCTTGGAGGCCTCTTGGGCTGTCTTGGGGCCATCTGGGGCGTCTTCGGGCGATCTTTGGCCGTCTCGGGCCTCTCTTGGACCGTCTAGAAAGCTTCTCGGGGCCCTCTTGGACCGATCTGGAGCCCTCTTGGACTCCGAAACAGAACTCCGGCATCTCTGACCCGACCTTGCCGGGGACTTGCCGGGACCTTGCCGGGGTACTTTTCGCCCGGGGACCCCCAGGGGCCGCCCCGCGCGCGCGAACTAGAAATACTGTTAACCAGGTACCGGAGATCTTAGCACGCCCTGGCCCGTTGGGCCAGCGAATTTTCAGTTCTCAGCTTGCCTCCTCCTCCTCCTCATCCTCCTCATCCTCCTCATCCTCCTCATCCTCCCAAACTTGCGCTGGCAAAGCATATCTGTCAGGGCGGCATGGGCATAATCGCAGTTGGTCCGCGTTCCCTGGGATGAGCAGCACGAGGTGATGAACGAACAACAGACGCCCATGCCCGTAGAGGGGGCGGAGGAGGCTACGAAGGCGTCTTGCCCGATCGGGATCCCAACTCAAGCGGGAGCCCCGCGCCCATACCTACGGCGCCTTCATCTCCGTGCTCTCCTCCATACAGTGGGGACCCATGCCAAGAGACACCCTGCTTGCCTCCAGGGTGCCCTGGGTTTGTCGGGTTTCGATGGTTTTCCAACGGAAAGCCTTTTCCGTGGACATCCTGGGGTCTCAGGGTTGGGTCACTTGTGGAAGGTTTCTTGTGGACTGGCCTCCTCTGTACCTCCTCCCCATTGGTTGAGTGAGCGTATGTGTGCTTCTCTTTCATCATGCAGTCGACCCGCAGCAGAAGGCTGCGCGAGAAGGATGCGAGGGCCTCGGACGCCTACGTCGAAGCTTTTCGGGCGGGGCGAGGCCGACGAACGTGTCCTCCAAGGGTGTACCGCTGGGGGCCAGGATGCGAGGGTACCCTCGGGAAGGCTGCCCATCCTTCCCGTGCGGGCGGACTGCAACCACCGTCGGTGCGCGCTCCGTGGGGGCGAGCAGCACGAGGCGCGAGGAGGCCGCAGGCAGGGCTCGTTTCGATTCCTCCGATTCGATTCGATTCGACTTCGATGGATTCCAATTCCGATTCGATTCGACTTGGGCTCCCGATTTGGACTCCGATTTCTTACTGGAGGCACACTAGCTCGCCGATCTCCGCCGATTCGACGTTCCCCCGATGCGGCTGCCGATTTCCGCCGATCCGATTCGTGCCGATTGCCGATCCGATGTATCGATTCGATCCTGGGCTCTCCTGGCAGGGCAGGGGCGGGGGCGGCGCGCGAACGGGGGCCCCAGATTCGACTTTTCCCGATTGACTTGTCCCGATTCGTGCCGATTGCCGATCCGATGTATCGATTCGATCCTGGGCTCTCCTGGCAGGGCAGAGGCGGGGGCGGCGCGCGGACGGGGGCCCCCTGGCCCGCGAGGCGGCGTGCGCGGTGGCGCCCCGCGCGGGGCAGAGCCTGGCCGCGCTCCTGGAGCGGGGGTGCCGCCAGGAGCGGGGGCCGCGGCCGCCGCGCGCCGCGCGGGCGGGAGGCCGTGCTCGCGCGGCCTCATCTTCCTCCTCCTCCTCCTCCTCTTCCTTCCTCCTCCTCCTCCTCCTCCTCCTCCTCCTCCTCCTCCTCCTCCTCCTCCCTTTCCTCCTCCTCCTCCCAAGTGCGGTCGTACAGCCACGACTGACCCCAGGCACTTTGTGTCGTTGTGTGGCCTCCCCACAGCTAAGGGAAGGCAGAATTTGGCGAGAATTCAGAGGGGAGTACCCCCACCCCAGCGGGCCGCCGAAGTCGGTCAGAGCTGCTGCCATCGTCGATCTGCAGCAGTAATCGAGAGGAGCTTCGACATTCGCCGTCGTTCACCCCAACGTTCCCAACGTCCTCCTCCTCCTCCTCCCCCTCCGTCGGGCATGTGTCCGCTGCAGGAGGAGTACCGAAGCATGGTAAGAATAAGACAAATAGTCTGGGGACGATGCTTCGGACAACTAGCAGGAAGAAGCACACAGAGTAGCAATAATGAGAGAAGGACACGTGGAAATACTGAGGAGCATCGACTTAGGTTTGACTCTCTTGCAGCATTCTCTGGTTGTTGCTAGTTGCTCTTTCAAGACCCGCCTGTCGGGGGACATGCGCCCGACCTCACGGCAGTCGCGTCGACGCGGCGGCGGCTTCTCGCCCCCGCCGCGGGCATCCAAGGTTTTGAACGCCACAAGGGGTCCCAGAATCTGCCCGCGTGGAACGCTCTGGCGATCTGAGAGCCGCCGATCGTTCCAGGTTGTACCGTACAACCTGAAACGATCGGCGCCTCTACGATCGCGTTGGTTTCTGACACCACGTCGATCGTACTACGATCCACGTGGTGTCAGAAACCAACGCGCAGGTCGTCACGACACGAATCTGCCGAAGTTTGATCTAGGCCTCCCCAATGGGGTCGAACGCCGCGAGGGGCCCAGAATCTGCCGGCGTGGAACGATCTGGCGATCTGAGTCAGGCGATCGCAAACGTGGATTAAGGGGGCGTGGACTAGCGACGGGTCCCGTTTCCATGGGAAACCGCGGATTGCCGCCGCCGAGCGAGGCGGCTCTGGCCGCTCTGGGGAGGGCTTCTCCCTCGATCCATGGATTTGGCGACCGCGCGCCAAATCCATGGATCGCTAATCCATGTTTGCGCGCCCCCGACTGAGAGCCGCCGATCGTTCCATGTTGGGTGATCCACTTGGTGTCACAAACCAATGCGCAGGTTTTCACGACACGAATCTGCCAAAGTTTATCTAGTCAGGCGATCGCAAACATGGATTAAAGGGGCGTGGACTAGCGACGGGTCCCGTTTCAATATGAAATCGCGGATTGCCGCCGCCGCACGATGTGGCACCGGCCACCATTTGGGGAGGACTTTTCCCCTGATCCATGGATTTGGCGACCGCGCGCCAAATCCATGGATCGCTAATCCATGTTTGCGCGCCGACCGTTCCAGGTTGTACGATCCACGTGGCATCGGAAACCAACGCGCAGATCGTCACGACACGAATCTGCCGAAGTTTTACATGGGCTTCCCAAATAGGGTCGAAGAAGATGGGGTCGAAGTAGTGAATCTCGGAGTCGGCTTGGGGGCTGAGGTGGCCCAGCATTGGTTCCCGCCTCCAAGGTGATCATAGTTTCTCTAGGCCTCCCGAAACGAAACGAGGTAGATGGGGTCGGAGGATCGCGCCGAATCGCCGGTTAATCGCCGATGCCGCTCGGTGTGGATCCCGATTTACTCCTCGCCGACGTCGCCGATGCTTCGCCGATGCATCGGCGATGCTTCGCTCATGCATCGGCGATGCGATGACGATGCGGCGCGATCCTCCGACCCGACCTGCTCGAACACCATTTGGGAGGCCTCTAGTTCCGCCACGTGAGCTGCAGGGGGTCGTCGGGGACGCGAACATGACCATGAAGCGATGTCCGCAGCCGCCACCGCGCAAGGTTCTTGGGGACCATTTTTCTGGGCAGGCTCGCTGGCGTGAGACGTTGGAGGATGCATGTGCGCGATGTTTGGGGCGAAGCCCCGCAGACCTTCGTGTACGTGTGCGGCTCCGAAGTTCTTGGGCTCGTCACGCAGCAGCGCCCTGGGCGAGGAGCAATATGTCGAGCTCCACGCCGGCTCGCGGGCGTCGTCGCCATTGAGAGTGATTTTCAGATCGTCCCCAAGCGTTCCAGCAGAAGAATGCATGTTTGTTGTTGGATCGTTCTCCGCGCTCGTGCTTCGAATCGTCATCCTGCACTCACTGGGGGAAGGGCCAGCCGAGGCATCGGCGGCCCATCCCGGCGTGGGCCGTCCTTCTTTGGGGGGTCTCGGGGCGGGGCATCTCGCCCAGCGCGCACAGCAAAGGTGCGGAGGCGGCGGCGGACGTGTTGTCGGATGCGTGCTGCAGGGAGAGTGCACACACGAACGGTCTGCCGGGCGGGGAAGGAAGGCTCGACAGGGAGGAATGGGCAAGAGGTTGGGTGCCGGGGAGGGGCCGCAGAAAGAGGTGGTGGCTGCAGGGGAAGAGGAGGCGCATGGGGAGGGGTGGAGTGAGAGGGGGAGGGAAGGAGGTGGAGGTCAAGAGGGACTGGATCGGCGTAGTGATCGCTCCGCGTGGTTCGCCGCAGGACGGGGGCATCTTCCAGCTGCGGGCCTGCTTCGACAGGCCCTCCGGGCCAGGTTACCGCTTGGTCCAGGTGGCGTTGCCGCGTATGTTCGTCCCCGCGCAGGTGCGCCCTTCATCGCTTGCCCAGCTCTTGCACGCGCACAAACTTATACACACTGATACATACTTGTACACACACGTGTACGTGTACATGTATGCATGTATGTACGTATGTATGTATGTACAACGAGTTCAAGCCAACTAGGACGGCATGCCCGGCCTCAACCTCCTGGTCTGTTCTAAGACCATCGATTTAACATTCAGTGTTTTGTTCCATGCCATGTCGTCATCGCGCGAGTGATATTCGAACGCCAAATATTCAAAGTGGTTACGGCGATCTTCCCCCAGATATTCCTCCAGATCTTCCTCCAGATCTTCACCCAGATTTCCCCTCAGATATTCCCCAAGATCTTCACCAAGATCTTCACCCAGATCTCCCTCCAGATCATCCTCCAGATCATTCCCGAGCCTTCCTCCCGATCTTCTCCTAGATCGTCTCCAAATCTTCACCCAACTCTTCCCCCAGAGCTTCGTCAAGATCGTCCCCCAGATCTTTCCCCAGATAGTCTATCATGTCTTCTCCCAAATCTCCGCCCAGATCTTCGCCCAGATCTTGCCCCAGATCTTCCCCCAGAGTTTCCTTCGGATCTTCCTTCAGATCTTCACCCAAAACTTCCCCCAGATCTTCCTCCAGATCGTCATCCAGATCGTCCGCCAGATCTTTCCCCAGCTCTCCCCCAGAACTTACCCCAGATCTCTCTTCGATCTTCCTCAGATCTTCCCCAGCCTTCTCCCCCAGATCTTCCTCGGATCTTTCCCCAGATCTGCACCCAGATCTTGACTCAGATCTTTCCCCAGATCTTCTCCCAGATCTCCACCCAGATCTTCCCCCAGATCTTCACCCAGATCTTCCCCCAGGTCTCCCCCCGATCTTCCCCAAGATCTTCCATCCGGATCTGTTCCCAGATCTTGCCCCAGATCTACACACCACCCCACGCGACCTCACAGCACCCCACGCGACCTCACAGCACCCCACAGGCCCGTCCTCGGAAGAGGAGAGAGTCGGGCGAGATTCTCCACGGGAGACCCTGTGGGTGTTGTCTCCCGTCGTCGTCGTCGACGTCGTGTTCCGTCGTTGGTGCCCTCCTGGTCGTGGACCTCGTCGTCGTCCTGACCGTCGCCCTCGTCGTCGCTAAACATTATTTACTCGTGTTTGTTCATGCTTTTTACGCTTTCCTTCTGTTGTTCGTTCGAAACGCGTTCGGGAACACGTTTGGCGCGTTCTCTACACGTTAGTCGCTAGCCTGCCCGCTTGGGGAAGTATGGGAAGTATGCCTTTACTTTGTCAGGCGCTTTGTTCTCGCGCGGGCACGAGCCGTGGGTCTTGCTCGCCTGTTGGTAGGTGCGCGAGCAAGGTGTCCATATTGTGTTTCTTGTCGCCCGCTGTCTGTTCGTGACGTCCTCGCACTTCGCGCGACGCGCCTCATCCGTTTTCGTTACCTCTTGAGTTCTTTAATGCAGAGATTCCTTTCGATCTTCCAAACCTTCCGGTTTGCAGTCGTCCGATGTGCCTTATGTCTGCCCAGGTTTCTGCAAGGTCGCGAGGACGTTCTTCCACGGTTTCCCCCTGATCTCCTTCCAGATGTCCCTTGCATCTTCTTTCTGATGTTCCTATCTTCCACATCTTCTTCTGGATCTTCCCTCTGATCTTCCTCCGATCTTTTCCGCATTCGCCTTGAGATCTTCCTCCTGATCTTCCTGAGGATCTCCCTCCAGATCTTCTCGCAGATTTATCCTCAGATTTTCCTCCAGATCTTGCCCCAGATCTTCACCCAGTTTCCCCCCTAGATCTTCACCCATATCTTCCCCTAGATGTTCCCTCAGTCTTCCTCCAGATCTTCCTCCAGATCTTCACCCAGATCTTTTCCTGGATCTTCCTCCAGATCCTTTCCCAGATCTTTCTCCTGATTGTTCCAGATCTTTCCCCTGCTGATGAAGGAGCTGCTGGTGCTGCTGATGCTGCTGATGATGAAGCTGCTGGTGGTGTTGCTGCTGGTGCTGCTGTTGCTGTTGGTGTTGCTGCTGTTGCTGTTGGTGTTGCTGCTGGTCCTGGTGCTGGTGCTGCTGGTGCTGCTGTTGCTGTTGGTGTTGCTGCTGGTCCTGGTGCTGGTGCTGCTGGTGCTGCTGCTGGTGGGTCGTCTTGGAGGCCAGTTTGGGCCGTCGTGGAGGCACCTGGGCCCATCTTGGCCTCGTCGGCGCAGGTCCACTTCTTATTGCGAGGGACTGTGGCCGCAGGAACGCCGTCGACGCGCGCCCGCGCATGCGCGCGCCCGCGCGTGGGTGCGAGGTGGAGGAGCGGGAGGAGGGGGAAGAGGGAAGGAGGAGGAGCAGGAGGAGGCGGAGGAGGAGGACCACTGTAAACCCAAGAGGCACTAACGATGTTGGAATAAACCCTCCCTCCAAGCTCCCTCTTCACAGGCTCCTACACCGGCTCATTTTCATTGGGGGGATTGCCCTGTTGGAAGACAACCGATTGAAGACCCTGCAGCATGCTGATACATTGTTCTCGGGATTCCAACGCCACAGATCAACCTGACCGTTGCGCGTTGACGATCCAGAGTCGCGCCAGAACGCCATTCCTGGGACTTCACACAGCAAATCAACGTAATTGTTGCGCCCGCGTAATCTTGAATCCTTTCAAAACAGAATATTTTGTACGTTGATGATGGGATTCCGTGAAACTCTCGCAAACATTTTGAAATACATTTGAGAAAACCCCAATCAGTGGATGATTTGGAAATCAATACTATGGATCTTGAGATCGATTGTGAGAACGATGATGAGATCGATAGTGTAACCGATAGTGAGGATGATTGTAAGGTCGATTGTGAGACCGTCAGTGGCATCGATTCAATGAAATCGATAGTGAGATAGGCCGCGAGATCGCTCATGCGATCTCTAGTGATATCGCTTGCGAGATCGATAGTGAGATCGATGGTGAGATCGATAGAGAAGTGGGTAATGAGATCGGTGGTGAGACCGATCGATCAGATGATCGACCAGAAACCCAGGAACCTCGCCGCCCTCCGAAATCGGCCCGGAACCTTGTCGAAGGTGCATAGCGGCATAGCGGCATCCGCGATGTATCTTAGGCGCCAAAGCAACTGCATCCAGAAAGCGCCATTTTTTGAAACGGCTTCGTCGGAGTGGCGGCAGCCATGGAGCGCCGGGGCGGCGGCAGCCCAGGCCGACCCCCTCCCAACCGACGCAATGTTGTTTATCTGGGTATCGGGGCCGGGAATCCGGAACCGGGAACCCGGGAACCCAGCGTGCGACCAAAATCGGCGGGACATGTTCGCAAATTTTTTCAACTTCCGCGAGGAACCCTTCAGTGCAAGCACTTATTGGGGAAAATATAAAAAAACGAATGTGCTCCGCGCTAAGGCGAGAGCAACATTTTGAAAAGGAACCGCTCTCAATCCGTGAAACCCTTTCTGCATTTTTTACAACGATTGCGCGCCGCGCTAAGGCGAGAGCCACATGTTGAAAACGACCCGCCCTCAATCCGTGGAACTCTGGCAAATGTTTGCATCGAATGTGCTCCGCGCTAAGGCGAGAGCCACATTTTGAAAAGGAACCGCCCTCAATCCGTGAATATCTTGCAAATGTTTACAACGAATGTGCGCCGCGCTAAGGCGAGAGCAACATGTTGAAAACGACCTGCCCTCAATCAGTGAGCTCTGGCGAATGTTTGCAACGAGTGTGCGCCGCTCTAAGGCGAGAGCCACATTTTGAAAACAAGCCGCCCTCAATCCGTGAAACTCTTGCAAATGTTTAAATGAGTGCGCGCCGCGCTAAGGCGAGATCTACATGTTGAAAACCACCCGCCTTCAACCCTC